CACTAGGTGACAGTAGCACACTTCCTCCTAGCTGTGACATCCCCAAATAATCTCCAGACATTGCCAAATATCACCTGGGGGCCAAAACCATCCTCTACTGAGAACGACTGCTTTGAGGCAGTGAGAATGTGGGAATTTGGAGGATTTTATGACCGAATACATTTTGTATAAGCAACTGGTTTGAGAGGTTACTTGGGATTTTTAGGTGGGTAGAAAGAACTTCTAACTCAGTTGATCATGAGTCTCTATCTACCCTTTTTTGAAATATGCCGGCACATTTGCTAACTTGCTCCATTGTTCACTTACTTTGTGCTGTTGCTATCCAAATGCTTGTCTTTAGCATGTTCCTTATCTTTACATCTTCCAAGCCTTTACCCTCAACTTTTTTTTCTAAGATACGAGACCACATAACTAAGCTTTTTAGAATTATGCCAAAAATAATATCTGAGTTAGGGTTTCTTTGTTTGTATGCAGGGGTCATCTCTCCCAATAAAAATTTTAAAAATTGATCAGATAGAAATATAATATTTAAAAACACTGATTATAATTTCACCTTACTTCCAGGATGTTCTTTAAAAACTGAAATGCATCTTCGGTTGCTGTTGAAATGGAAGAACAGTAGTCTATAGTAAGTTAGTATTGAGGATGGGAATGGGGGAGGACTTAAAAAAACAACAACAACATGATTTTAAAACAAATTAAAGCCTAAACATTAGCTTATATGATCATCTTAGAAATTTTCAGATCAATCCAGAAAGCACATCAAATTTTGGAAGACTGCTCTAATGACAGTTTTTCTAATTGGTTTTATTTCTTAGGATTATACCTTAAATGACTTGTATTGATAACATTTTATACTATTCAAATGCTATTACTAATATAGTATTAATAAGGCATAAGAAGTATGACATGTAGCCACCTTGTCCCATGGTTACTAGAGGAAACATGAGTTTCAAGCATTAAGGGAAAGGCTGTTGGAGGTAAGAGTCCTTGTCATTAAGTTTGTTGCTGATCAGTCAGTAGGCAGATGTCCCTTCAGAAGAAGGTTGTGGTTCATGACAATTCCTGCTGCTAATGTTAATGTATCTCTCTGAAGTCAGAAACCATTACAGAAGTAAGAAAATACTGAGTCAAAAATAGGAATGAGTTTTTTCTTTTTTTTTTTTTAAAGTAAACTCTGCACCCAGTGTGGAGCTTGAACTCAAAACCCCAAGATCAAGTGTCGCATGCTCTACCAGCTGAGCCAGCCAGGTGCCCTTGACTATTATTTTTCTTAAAATGTTTGCCACAGCTCTATTTATTTGGACTAGAAGGAAAAAAGACTGAATCAAGGGCAATTTTTTTTCTTTTGCCTTGTGTAAGAGTTCTGTGTATTATACGTTTATGTTGAAAGGTGTTTTTGTTATGAATAAACCAATTCTCTAACAAAATGTGAAAGGCAAATGCATGGTCTCCTTCCATCTTAGTCTCAGCCTCATGCCAAGATTCTGATCACAGTTAATGTTGCAACATCTTCAAACGGGGACTTGTTTTTGTGTGTGTGTGTTTTGTTTTGTTTTGTTTGGTTCTCATATTCTCTTAAACACCCCCATCTCCCATACTTTATAATCATTTTAGTAATTACTAATTTAGATCACATGCTATTCTAAAGTACACTTCCATAAGTGTTTCAAACTTAAGTTGTATTTCTTATTGTGAAACTAAAAGGTATCTTAAAGGGTGGGGACAGAAGGTTGGTAAAGAAATATGCTGACCTGTGGGTAAACCTAGTTAGTCATTTTATAGAGAAGAGGGTGGGGTGCTGGAACAGACCTTTCCCGGTAGTGTCCCACGTAAAGATTCTCTTGTTCCTCATTCACCTTCACAGTAGCCTTCTGAAAGTTGTAAACTTGTGCCCTCACCACTCCCCCCATAGGTCTCTTTACCCACCTTCTAGACCAGTAGATCCTAACTTTTACAGTGACAACCTGGAAGGGAAAAAAAAAGGGGCAGAAGATTTGCAGGACCATAATTTTTGTTTCATTCTATGATTAATAAAATGCATATGACAAAAAGTTATATGAATTTCTCCAGTAACAGCTTTAAGGTGAGTAAAATTTTTCATCAAGCAGCAATGCTTTGTCCTTCCAATGGGTTCTCATCCTTCCCTGTAACTCCCAAGTGCCCTGGCTGAGGACCTGTAGATTAGGGATCCATGCTGTTTAGTTTCCTCCAGGGTTCCTGTTGCATGCTTTAGGATTTCAACTACATTTCATATTATTTCATTTAGTATTATTTTTCTTAATATACCCCACTTTTATTATCAATTTTCAAAGTTTAATGAAGCATGTTACTTTTTAAATTATAGTTATGTTTATATTGTATACTTGATTCCTTAATGCCCTCTTTTTTTCTGAACTTTCAGAAAAGTTTATACCCCAGACTGAAAGCTGATTACACACAAGTAGCCACCTTGATTTGAATATCTACTTGTATCATAGGTGATAAGCTGTAATGTTAAAGCTTATGTTCTAAACTGATTGTCTTTCAGTAACTTGTACCAGTGATTCCCAGAAGCAACCAATACCTGTTTAAAGATCACCATAGATTCTTAAGTCCCTTCCGAATATTCTAAATTCAGTAGGCCTAGGATGAGGGGTCTCATCCTCTCACTTGAAAGTTCTATAGGTGATGCTGAGTAACAATGAAGTTTGGAAATTAGTTTTCCATACAATCCATAAAAGCTGCATATAGTGCTATATTGTTAAACCTTTGTTCTTTTTTCTGTACCGAGGGGCCAACAGAATCGGGCCCATGTCAACATGTCACCTCTAGGGTTAGACTGACTTTATTGTTATTTTTTTTTCTGGGTCTCTTTCTTAGCATTACTAAGCTGACTATGAGGTAAACTGTATGGAATGCTGGCATTACTGGGTTTTAGATGGCCTAGCTTCTCCTTCAGGCCTTGGTTCCTCATCTGTAAAAAGAAAGGTTTACAGCAGATGATTGTCTTTGCCTTTTAGCCTTTAAACCTTAGATACCACGAACTAGATGAACCAGATTAAATAGGATAGTTCATCTGTTATCTGCAACCTCTGTATCAGTGGTGTCTTTACCTCATTAGTCCACTTTTCAGTTAATTCTAGTCTGGTAAACAGGTGTCCCAGCTGGTAATGGCCAGTGTATATAGACTTTTTGCCCAGAAGCATACGCTGGATGCAAACACGTAGGCAGACCAGATAACCAAGGACCAGTTCTAACCTCAGGGTTTAAAGCTGTATCAGGAGAGTATCCTTTCACTAGAGGTTACCTCATGTTCCTAGAAGTAGAAAACTGATTAAAAGTTCTCCTTACATCCCACCTTGTCCAGTCTAAAACAAGTCTTATAATAGTTCTGAAGAATACCAATCACAAAGGATATTAAAGGACCATACTATTTGAATCAGTAGAATAATTCATAACTGTTATGAATTATTATGATCACTACCATCTAATGAGAAACTGCTGAGTCTCTTTTTCTACAGAGATGCCACCCCCCATTTTAATTATCAAAACATTCCTGAGAATTTGTGATTTAGGTTTAGTGACTTGCTCAGGGTCACATAGCTAATAAGTGCTCAAGTCATTGTCCAAGCTCTCTGCCTCTTGGTTAGTTTGGCTCTACTCTTCCCATTAGCTCATGTTCTTTTATCTATATTTTCTCCCTCCTTTTTTGCCACATTATGTTTTCTTCTCTAGCTTTTGTTTCTTTCTGGTTTTCTTTTGTAAGCTCATTCTGAAAGAAAAATCTGTAGTGGGTTTGTGCAAAGTGTAGGGCCCAGGCAGGTCCCCGCCCCGCTTCCCTTCCTCTAACCTTTCTCTTAAATGAAGGAATTGAACCTCATCCTAATCAGTTAGCAGAGGGCATCTTGAAGACAAGGAGTTTTTGTCTCGTTCATTATTGAAATCTCTGCCATTTAACTTCATGTACATGTGCATTAAAGAGTGAATGAATCCAGTTCATACCATCCATTCATTTAAAATAGCAGTTTGCCTGCTCTGTAGAAATTGTCCTGTGTATTGACTGGGATATACAAGTCTCTCCAAGTAAAGACCTTCCTGCTGACACACCTCATTATTTTTGTAAAGACCTTCCTGCTGACACACCTCATTATTTTTGAAGCAACTATAATAGCTAGGTTTGAGAAATCTGAGCTAAAACGTGTAAGTTAACCACTTTAGTACTGTCATGTCCATGCTGTGGGAAGTATCTAAAACCATTCCCAAACGTGTCTTTTCCTCTCTCCTCAATACGAGAGTCCTACCCACACTTGTTTTTATTATTGTACTTGGATACAGAGCAGAGCACTCTACAAGCCAACACAGTGCTTCGGAAGGGTATTACGGTATAACTAAATATAAACAGTGATTTAATAGGGAAAGGGATAAAGAAACATACCCACTCTAATATTTAGAGAACCTGATTATAGAATTTTATACATTGAAAGGCAAATTGAATAACTTGTCATTGGATACTCTGTCATCCTTGTGCTCCTCCCACCCGACATGGTTTATAATGTAAAAAGTACTAAAATCCATTGGACTCCTTTTAGGATAAGATTATGGGAGTAGAAGAGCAAGGAACAAGAACCCCAGTCAGTGGGTCAAAAATAAAACTTTATGCTTGAAATGGTCATCAGAAACAAATAGCTGTGAGTAGAAACCACTGAATATTGCTTACGTTTTCTTATGATGTATCCAGGAGAGGTTTGAGAATTGAAGAATTTCTTGCTTATTCACAGCTTAAATAGGCTTAGAATAGTTTAAACATTCTTTATCATTCAGTTGACTTGACCTAAGGCTGATGGGTTTGTTGCAGTTCAGAATCAGATTGTGTCTGAAAGACACTTCTATTTTATGGAGAGGATCCCCACATTAAATAAAAAGGAAGAGAAGAGGTTATCTTTTTTCCTTTTTTGAATACCCTATAAAAACTTGGATAGTGCCACCACCTGCTTACCTTTTGATGTATTACTTCACAGTGCTGGTCCCAAAGGTGATAACATCTATGAATGGAGATCAACCATTCTGGGACCTCCAGGATCCGTGTATGAGGGTGGTGTATTCTTCCTTGATATCACTTTTACACCAGAGTACCCCTTCAAGCCTCCAAAGGTAAGAATGTCCCAATTTATAGTTAAATTTACATATTGCTATGAGAGACTATTGAAGGTTTTAAAAATGAGTTTTAATCACAAAAGGTAGATTTCTGTTACATCAACGAATCTCTACATTTGGATGGACACAAAACACTGCACCGGGGAGCGGGGCTTTGCCTCTTGCAGAGACCATAGTTCTAATAGTATGTGCTTTGTTTTGATGGTGCTTAAAATTCTGCTATTTTTAGTGACACAACAACCCAGAATCAATCCTGTATTTTCCACTTAGAAAAAGTTACTGAACAGTTAAAAATGGTTTCAAAATATCTATGCACTAAAATAATGAGAAAGTCAGAATCTCCTACCGAAGACTTGGATTCTGCTTCTTGTCATGTTTTGGTCTTGTTCAAATTCTTAACCTCCAGGCTTCAGTTTTCTAATCTAGGATAGTATCTCCTATGACATTCAATCTATGATTCTTATTTATACTAACTGGAAATTTTTACTTTGGAATGATTCTGTGTGTCTCACCAAAAAAAGTTAGGAAACCAAAATAAAGTAACCCAGGCTCATATGGCTTGTGTTAATTTGTCTACTAATATGATCCTTACCCATTTCTGGCTCCTCATTTGTGGAGACTCCATTACAGTGATTCTGTGACCTAGGTAGACGGGATATCTGCGGGATCTAATGTAAAAATCAGAAAAAGCAGAAACAAATCTCATCTTTTTTTTTTTTTTATAGCCTTTATACCTAAGCATTTTGCTTTTGTTTATGTACCCACTATGTTGTATCTGTTTGAATTCATTATGAAGTTTATTTTAAGGCCATGTAGTACCACCAGCTAACACAAGAGGTCAGCAATTAGCTCTTTCAAACTTGAAAAGTTAGGAAAATATTTAAAACTTTGAAACTGTTAGAATAACTGAAGTTATCTGCTTTTTGTTGATGGATATTACTTTTGAAATGACAGAGTGTATCAATGAACATTCTAATCTCAGATTAAAGTCATTTAACCTATCTTACCAGCTTTAAACTCTGTATTCATCTTTTAAAATTTTAAATTTAAAAATTTTAAATTACAGCCACTCAACTGAAAAAGCAATGTAGTAAAAATTTCATTGTTTGCTGTTTAAATTTTAATACTGTCTTATTTTTTTAGGTTACATTTCGGACAAGAATCTATCACTGTAATATTAACAGTCAAGGAGTTATTTGCTTGGACATATTAAAAGATAATTGGAGTCCAGCACTAACCATTTCTAAAGTTCTCCTTTCTATCTGCTCCCTTCTTACAGACTGTAACCCTGGTAAGGTTAATATTTTTTTTTCTTCTTTCTCACCTGAAAAATACTTGTTTTGATAAAGTACGAGGACCTTCAAAAGAACAAAATGTAGGGGCACCTGGATGGTGTAGTCAGTTGGGCATCTGACTCTTGGTTTTTAGTTCAGGCTGTGGGATCAGGCCATGTTTGGCCCTGTGCTCAGTGTGGGGTCTCTTTTAGGATTCTCTCTCCTTCTGCCCCTCCTGCTCATGCTCTCTCTCTCAAATGAATAAATAAATCTTTAAAAAAAGAAAACAAAAGCTAATCTTTTTTTTCAAAGAGTTTTAATCAAGAGAAGTTCAATCTACTAGTTGAAAAAGGCAGCAACTTCTGTGCTCTAGAACAAGAAGTTTTAAAACTAAGACTGACATAAATTTGCCTTAGGGTTTTTACATTTTTCATACAGTTCTCTTAAATCACATACTTCTAACTAAATGTTGAGTCATTGCCTAACCTCTCCTGTGCCTTCTGGTTCACTGAGTACTTGTCCTAAAGCTGTTGTTCAATTTCGAAAGTGATTAATTCTTTGCTTAATAGTTAGTGATTATCAGACTGATTGCAGGGGGTGGGAGAGAAAGCTTATTCTTTTTATTATTACAGATTCTGTTTAGGTTTCAGAGCAACACTATACTTAATTGTTAAGGTCCAGGTTTTGACCTGGTAACCTGGCTTTTTCTAAGTAACTAGCATAGACGTAGTGTTATATTGCAATAGCCCAGAGGACTACAGTACTCCACAAAGTCAGGTGAACACAGTTGGATTCCATGTTCATTGCAGCCTTGAACATTCCAGTTTTTATTGAACTTACCTAATAAGAGCAAAAACACCTCTAATTGGGTAGTGTTTGCTGGGAGAAAAACAGAATGAACTAAGGAGATAAAGCCACACTAGTACTAAAGCCTGAGCATTCTGTTTTGCTGAGACGTTTTCCCCTTGCATATAGTGCCCAAGATGATGGAATGGTGTTTCAAAACTGGTTTTTCACAATACTTTGCATACTTCTTCCCAAGTTGTCACTGATTTATTTGCTAAAATTTGAAACATTCTTTTCCTTTCTCCAAAGTAATCTACATTCTTTTCTTCCAGCTGACCCTTTGGTGGGAAGTATTGCCACTCAGTATATGACCAACAGAGCAGAACATGACAGAATGGCCAGACAGTGGACCAAGAGATACGCTACATAAATTGGGTTTTCACATTCTTACATTATTTGTCTGTCACAGAGAGAGCTGCTTATGATTTTGAAGGGGTGGGGGAGGGTGGGAGTTGGTAAAGAGTAGGGTATTTCTATAACAGATATTATTCAGTCTTATTTCCTAAGATTTTGTTGTAACTTAAGGTATCTTGCTACAGTAGAATTGGTAATAGCAACTTTTAAAACCGTCATTAGTTCTGCAATATTAGCTGAAATGTAGTACAGAGAATAGACATTGGGTTCAGTTGCTTATAGTCTGTAAATTTAAAATAGCTTAATTTTGTACAGGTTACACACATGGCCATTTATGTAAAATCCTTCAAGACTACACTTTTTTGTTGTTCAAAAAAAATTGGAACTTGTTTTCCTTTCTTGGGAGGGAACATTGATATTTAACAGTTTTTAGAGACGGTCATCTCATATATATAAAATGGATACGTGGCTATAAGACACCATATAGGAAATGAGTAGTTATGTATTTTATTTTATATGCCAATCTACTTTATTGTGACAAGATAAGAGGTTTGAATCACGACTTGTGAAAACCTGTAGTAAAATACCTTAAGCTGTTAACTGTAAGGTGTGAAATAGGAGTTGCTCAGTGGATTGGTTATATGTTGTGGACTACTTAAGTCTGCATTTGTTACTGTGCTAATAAACAATATTAAAACAACCACCTAACACTGCTGTATTCCTTAACTTTATTTTGCCTGTGTTTGTAGTTTGTAGATTCTTCTAAACTTGGTAAAGCTTTGCTACTACACAACCTACAAGTACTACACATTGAATAATATGCAAGGACCTAGGTTAGGTTTGGTATGCTACTCTGTTTTTGAGGGGTCTTAGAAAAGGTCAGAGATGGATTCTCATGGCTAAATTAATACATCTGAGAGGGCAATTTGGCAGTACCTAAGTGTATATATATATCCAGCAATTCTGTTTCTTTGCGTGTACTCCAGAGAAACTTTTTAAAATCACTGTAAAAGTATTTATTCATCTCTTTAAAAATAATAGGAAAGAAACCGAGATCAACCTCAGGTAATGACTTAACCATTATCTGAATAGTTTTTTTGGGTCCCCCCCCCAATTGTGATGAGGAGGTTTAGCCAATTAAACAGAAGCAACACTGGCTGATTTACAAGTTTTATATTTTGCAGTTCTTGGTTTCAACTCTCACAGAAATGAACCAACTAAATCCACTGTACCTAGCCTTAAAAGTATTCCACTTAAATACGGGATGAGACTCTTAATCTTGGGGTCCTGACTTTGAGCCCCATTGGTAGAGTTTACTTAAAAAAAAAAAAAAGTTACAGTGTACTAGTTTTTTTTAACATATCTTTTTGCTGAACAGCTTATTTCATATTTTACATATAAATCAAATTGCTAAGGGAGCTATTTGACGGAGCCTGGGTGGCTCAGTTGGTTAAGCATCCGACTCTTGACTGTGGCCTCAGGTCTTGATCTCAGGGTTGTGAGATTGAGCCACGAAACCTGCTTAAGATTCTCTTTCCTTCTCCCTCTTCTCCCTGCCCCCACTTCTTAAAAAAAAAAAAAAAAAAAAAAAAAGGCTGCTTTGCCAGTTGGGATATTGCCAAAATCTTCAAAGAATACCACAGCACAAACTCCGGTATCTAACCTGAAGACTACCTTAAGTCCAATATTTTTATGATACGTTTTATTCCACATGACTGTGTATCCAGAAAACTACTGCAAAAGGCATAGTAATACTTGTGGAAAATGGAAGCTTTAGTGCCCTTAAGTGCTTAGCGGTTTTCTAAAGAAAGAGCAAACGCTTTGAACATATTTATACCACCTACTACCTCAAGTCATGCTAAACATTTAATTTGAACAAAGTTAAATCATAGGTTTTGTTCTATTCAGCAGTGTCTCCATAAGATAAAATTTAGTTTAACAACTAAACTGTTTACTGGTTGTGATCTAAAAATGACATTAGATGATTAGTGAACTTCTTAAAAACAAAATTATATTTAAGCTAATAAGTTTGCATAAAGTTATACAGAAAAATGGGTTTCTGGAACAAGTTGGGGGTTGTGGAGCTACTGCTCACAGGTATATCTGCATACTACCCAAACTTTATTTTACTGTTTGGACAAGTGCAACAGAACTTTAAATAGCAAAGGTGCTAAGTTCAGGGACAAGTTTCAAACAATGACAATGCAAATATATTATTTCGTATCAGGCAATAAACTTAGTCCAAATAATTTAATTATAACCTAGAGTACCTTAAATTACTTAAATTACTTCCTTAACGGTTTCCTAAGGACCAAAGTAAATACAAATGGCCTGTTTTAAATATATTCACGGACACCTAAGGCAATCACTATTCAACAAACAGTTGTAGCATTACTGATTTTTTAGTTCTCCGAGTTAGAGTTCCCTTTGTTTTTCCTCCCAGGCAAAGGAAAGCTTGATTTGCTCTGGGGCTGGGTAAGTTTGCTGGCTAAGAGAGTGAATGGCTCAATCAGTGTTCTCCGATCTGTAACTGTTACCTCCCACAGGCGTACTTTCTCACTTCTTGCCCATTGCTGTGCCACCTCAGCATCCACTTGTCTCTGCTCAGAAAGGTCAATTTTGTTTCCTAATACGACAATTGCCACCTAAAAGGAAAAGAAAAAAGTTACACTTTGCCAACATCTGTTCCTAAGCAAAATAGAAAAATCAAGAAAACTGTCCTGTTGAATAGAATTGCTGCTTCAAAATTGATTCTCAGATATGACCTGAGTCAACTTAGTAGGACATTAACCTCATTCTTCCTGAATGCATATTTGTTAAAAATACAGATGCTCTACAGCTTCTTAACTAGGAAACATTTTAAGTCATCAGTAAGTGAAGTTACTTAAGTCAGGTATGAATAGAAGCTAGACTTGGGGAAATTAATACCTAAGAAACAGACAACAGTTTCTGAAATGTGTCCACATTTCAGTGTAGCTATACCTGCTGTTTGGGAAATCTGCAATACCTACTTCAAAAAAAACAAAAAAGGACTGGGGCTGTGAGAGTTTACCCCTAGAACCTAAGTTCTATGAGAACAGGAACTGTTACTCCGTTCACATTATTCCTGATCACAAATAAGTGCCTGATGCAAGCGTTAAACGTGTCGAATTAGGGACCAATAGCAGTATTTTACACTAAATGTAAGGCAGTCAGCCCTTCCCTTAAGCCTGAATGCTTATTGTACACCATGCAGTTTCAGGCCACCAGCACACAGCAGTCACAAGGCAGTCAAAGCTCAGGAGGAGGGGAGGTCTGGAGGAGAGAGAATATCCAATTTTCAGGCCCTTGACTGTATAAAGAAGACAATAAAACAAGATCATGGAAAGTAGAAGAAGGGCAGTAAGAGTTGTTACAGAAGGCACCTCTGAGGAACAGCTTTGAACTAGGCCATATAAGCCACTGCTGTGTTCCTGCCGTAGACAGCTCTCTGTGCTCCCAGACCGTGCCTCCCAGGTAGGATGGAACAGCAGGCCCAGAGCTCTCGTTTTCTTGGCAAGTCTCGTATTCCTTCATTTCTCAACAGGATCTATCCCTTCAGGCCCTCCTGTCATTCTTCATCACTCATGTTTTCAGCTTTACATGTTATCTCCTATTCTGATCTCCCATTGCCCACCCTGACCTATCCAGTTGCAGAAACTGTTCCATGTTGCCCCCAGACTCAACAAAATCCCCTTCTGTCCCCATATCTGCTTTGAATATTCCCTTCATCTTTTTAGCTGAAACTGGCTCAGCTCTGTAGTACTTACCACCACAGTGAGCGTGGGATGGAAGGGGTAACCTTGTCCCTCAATGCCATCTCCAATAATGTCCTTCTCTAAGAACCCTAAAACTGAAAGCTGGTGCTATTAGTCTATACCACCTACTGCCTATTTCCCACCCCCATCCTGCTGCTACTCATTAAAGACCTGGCTCATGGTCACCCCTACACTACTTTTATCGTAAGTCCTAGTGACTTCACTAACCACATGGATGACCCTTCCCAAATAGCCTTAACCTCTTCCTGACTTTGGCCATTTGCTCCCATGAACACACCCTACTCTTGCCATTATTATTGCTCCCTTCCGTGGTCCCAATTCCAGGAATCCCACTCCCACTCTGCCTTCCTAGTCCATGCCTAACACCCTGTCTACAACGATCCTCAACACCGTAAGGACCTACAACCCACTGGCTCACCCACCTTTATCACTGTCCTTCAATCTCTCTTCTTGTCCTCAGTTCTCAGCCCAGTTTAGATTCTTTTAATTTATTACCTTGCCATCATTATCCCATTATATTCACCTGGTCAACACCTCCCCCAACCTTAAATTTAACTCTTAATTGGACCGACTTAAAGTGAGCTGGTGTTTCCCCAGCAAATACTGTAACAGCTCCTATCTTGGCCCTCTTCAACCTCCAATATCTCTTCTTTCCCCCACGTTACTCTCTCAGCTGATGTCTGGACTATTTCATATTTCAGTAGGCAAACAGAAGCAATTAGAACTTCCCCCTGCATCCACCACCACATCTAACAACCTACCATCTTCTAGAACCCATCTTCTACCCCAGATAAGACTGTCACTCTGGCAATTATTCCCCTCCCCATCAATTTCCTCCTCTCTTTTGAATCATTCCGTGAGTATGCAAACACTAGCTCTTGTCTAAAAGAGTCCTCTCTTTTACACATCCTTCTTTAGCTCCTGTTTCCCTTTAAAGGACAATATATTTACCCTTTGACTCAAAACTCTTTCAAAGAACTATCTTTGCTGTGTCCAATCCTTATATCCAGTCCAATCAAACTTCATCTCACTGTTTTACTCTAATTATTTTAAAAACATCCCAAGTTTCTAAAGACTGGCCACGTGCTTGTCCTTAGCTTTCCCGACCTATCTGCACCATGACGCAGTCTGATCTCTCTGCTTTTTAAAGTGGTTTCTCCTCAACTGGTAACTGTTTTAAGTGCTCCAGAGCAATAGCATTTCACAAAACTTGCTTCTCACCTTGTCCCCCAACTATGTTGTCTGTTGTCAACACAGCAGCCAAAATGAACATTTTAAAACAAGTCAAAAGATGTTTAGCCTTATTCGTATTAAGGAAACTGAAACTACTAAAGTACCATTTTCACCCCGAAGATGCACAAAATCCACACACACACACACCGTTGTCAAGACTGGAGAACAGGTACTTTCATACCCTTGTTATGGTCAGTAATTTGAGAATATATCCTTTAATTCAAGAACTCCATTTTGAAAAAAAAAGAACCCCATTTTGGCTGATCTTACAACTATAAAACATACAAAATAATAAATGTGTAAGATTATTCATTGTAGCATAGTTCATAATAGCAAATGACTGTAAATAGCCCAAGTGTCCCATCAGTTTGGAACTGGTTAAATAAGTATGATACAGGGGCGCCTGGGTGGCTCAGTGGGTTAAAGCCTCTGCCTTTAGCTCAGGTCATGATCCTGGGGTCCTGGGATCGAGCCCCGCATCGGGCTCTCTGCTCAGCGGGGAGCCTGCTTCCCTTCCTCTCTCTCTGCCTGCCTCTCTGCCTACTTGTGATCTGTCAAATAAATAAATAAAATCTTAAAAAATAAGTATGATACATCCACACAATGAATATGCATCATCCACACAATGAATATGCATCAGTTTTTTTTTTTTTTTAAGATTTTATTTATTTGACAGAGAGAGATCACAGTAGACAGAGGCAGGGAGAGAGAGAGAGAGGGAAGCAGGCTCCCTGCTGAGCAGAGAGCCCGATGTGGGACTCGATCCCAGGACCCTGAGATCATGACCTGAGCTGAAGGCAGTGGCTTAACCCACTGAGCCACCCAGGCGCCCAGTTTTTGTTTTTTTTAAAAGAAATCTGAATACTGCTATGGAAAGGACTCCCAAGATACAATACATGGAAAATATAAGGTGCAGAACACTGTCCTACCTTTGGTGTAAGAAAGTAGGAGTTGGGGAAAACTATATGTATATTCCTATTTGCTTGTATTTATAGAAAGAAATTTTGGAAGGATGCTCCAGAACAAGTAAAGTGATAAAATACTTAAAAAGCATGCTTGAGGTGCACCTGGCTGGCTCAGGTGGTGTAGCATACGACTCTTGATCTCAGGGTCATGAGTTCAAGTCCCATGTTGGGCACAGAGCTTACAATCAGTCAATCGATTGATAAATGAATAAAAAAATGAATAGTATGCTTGAGATAAAGGAACTCAGTGATTGAGGATAGGGGTGGGAATGAGACCTCACAATAGTCCTTATTATATATCATTTTTATTTCTGAACCATGTGCAAACATTACCTATTCAATTTTTAAAAATCAAACATGAAAATAAATAAATGCAACCTAAGCTATTATGTCTTTCCTTTGCTCAAAACCAATGGCTTCTGATCCAAAGTGTGGCCCTCATCTCCTACCATCCTCCTCCTAGCCCAGTCTGGCCTCACTATCATTCCTGAACACGACAAAGCAAACTTTCCCAGACCCTTGTGCCTGCTAGTCCCCCAACCCGGAGCCTCCACGTGGGTCTGGCTCCCTCCCTCACTTTTTTCAAATCTTTGCTAGAAGTCACCTTATCAGGGAGGCCTTCCCAGATGGCCCCACAGAAAAATAGTACCCTTGCATCCTGCTCTACTCTTAATTTTTCTACATAGCATCTGACTCTTTGTGATACACATGTGTGTGTTGTCTGTTGTATTCCCTGCATCTTACCTTAAACAATGCCAGGCATATAGTAGTTGCTCAATATGCATTTGTTGAATGAATGTGCTTCTCAAAATCTCCGTAACAACCATATAAGAAAGGTACTATTATCCCCATTTTTTGATTAAGGAAACTGAGGCAGAAAGTTGAGAAGCAGACCCAAGATTCAAGTACCAAATATGAGTGGTCAATAAATCACTCTTTCAACTTTTGGGGGGCAGGGAGGAGAATATGAAGGATACCCTAGAAAATAACAGCATTTATGTGTTTAGGTGAGGAAAATGGGAAATGGGTGGGAGGAGAGCATCCACCCGCTACCTGCCTCTATGTCTTTTAAAAACTGAACCTTGGGGCACCTGGGTGGCTCAGTGGGTTAAGCCTCTGCCTTCGGCTCAGGTCATGATCCCAGGGTCCTGGGATTGAGCCCCGCGTCGGGCTCTCTGCTCAGCGGTGAGCCTGCTTCCTCCTCTCTCTCTGCCTGTCTCTCTGCCTACTTGTGATCTTTGTCTGTCAAATAAATAAATAAAAAATCTTTAAAAAAACAAAAAACAAAAAACTGAACCTTGTGACTGTAATCTATTCACAAAGCAAATAAGTATTCAGAATAATAAAATACCAACAACTCAGATGTCCTTCAACAAGTTAATGGTTAAATAAACTTTGGTACATAAATACCATGGAATATCACTCAGCAATAAAAAGGAATGAACTACTGATACATATAATAACTTGGATGACCCTCCAGAGAATTATGCTGACCGAAAAATGCTGATACCAAAAGGTTACACACTATACGATTCCATTATGTTAACACTTCTGAAATGACAAGGTTACAGAAATGGAAAACAGATTAGTCAGGGATTAAGGGAACAGGATGGGAGGAAAGTGGTTATAGCAAAAAAAGGTAACTGGAGGGATCCTTGCAATGATGGAACCGTTTTCTGTATCTTGACTATAAACATAAATATCTTGGTGGTAACATTACACTAGTTTTGTACAATGTTAGCACTGGTAGACTGGGTAAGGGATCTCTATTATTTCTTTAAAATTGCATGTGAATCTACAATTATCTCAAAATAAATAGTTTAACATAATAAATAAAATATAAAAATCTAGGTTAAGAACATCTTAGCCAATGCTGTTAACCAATACATTATGTGGTTCCCTAGATGAAAGGGAGTCAGCCATGTGAAGATCTGGGGTAAGAGCTGCATTAAGAGTTCCAAGAAGGGAACCAGCAATTGACAAAGACTTAAGAGGGGAACAAAGTCATCACACTGAATAAAACAAGAAGTAGGGGCACCTGGGTGGCTCAGTGGGTTAAAGCCTCTGCCTTTGGCTCAGGTCATGATCTCAGGGTCCTGGGATTGAGCCCCACATCAGGTTCTCTCTGCTCAGTGGGGAGCCTGCTTCCCCCTCTCTCTCTGCCTGCCTCTCTACTTGTGATCTCTGTCAAATAAATAAATAAAATCTTTAAAAAAACAAAAAACAAAACAAAACAAAAACAAGAAGTAGACCAGTGTCCCCAGAGTGCAGTGACAGAGGAACAAAATTATAAAAACAAGACGAAAAGGATAGGTATGGGCTGGATCATTTAATGCTACAGATCACAGTAAGGAGCTTATTTCTAAGTAGTAAATGAGTATAATCCAATCATTTTATTTATTTATATGTATTTATGTTTATATTTATTATTTTCTGCTAAGGCTGAAAACAATCCTGTTCAGGCAACAAGACAAAGAGAGTCCTAGGAAACAGTGATCCCAAACAATATGAAGTGAACTATGTAGTATTTGAGACATAGTGTCATTAAAATTCAACTTGCACATGGCAACAAGCAAAAGCAGAAAGTCAAACGCCGGTCCTGACTGAATTCATTCAATCCTGTATTTCCTGGGCTAAGAAAAAATATTATGAAGATTATAGGTACATGAATACAATTTAATGCTTTTTAAATATTGTTACTGCCCAAAAGTCCATGCTACAAGTTAAATATTACAATTCATAGTTAGCATTTTTAACAAACCCACTTACCTCCTTTTTGTCTTTAAACTTATCAATTTCTTTCTTCAGAAGTTCTACTCTTTGAAAGGATTCAAGGTTATTCACACTGTACACAAGAACAAAGCCATCAGCAAATGAAAAATAATGTTTTGGAAGCTCCACACCTTCCTGTAAGCCTCTGGTGTCATAAAGATGTAACTGTTCCTTTACTCCCCGATCTGTTTCCACTGAAGCCATATATACATCTTCCATTGTTTCACAATCTTCCATTCCTGGGATTAAAAAGAAATTATTCTCATATTGAACCATTATGGTGTACACCTGAAATTAATAAAGTGTTAACTCAATTAAACCTCAATAAAGAAAAAATATTATTCTTTTTGGATAATTCAGTACCAATTAGTATTTTCCTCTCCTTTAGAAGTTTGCTTTCTAGAGGTTTCCCTATTTACTACATGTAAGAATTGTATTTACTAAATTTCTTTAAAGTGAAAGGTAGTTGTTACAGTAAGTGAACAAAGTGGCATTAAAATATATCTCGTCTGATTAGAAATAAAAGTAGGAATAAAAACTTGGCAATGAGATTTGGTAGTAGGTATTTTTTAAAAATAACTGTTAACGAAGTCAAAGAACTTAGTACCGAAATTGGAGAATTAAAGGCGGATTTTAAAAGCAGCTTCAACAACTAAGTACCTCCATTTTCTTCTCCATCAGAGCCAAGGACAGGACCTGTGGTAATTTTGCTGCCTTTATTCTATACAACTTCCAGTATTTCCAGAGTCTGTTTAAGGGACTCAAAAATTGGTATGTCATGTCTGGGCCTGAGCACCAGGCTTGTTCTCAAGTACCTACTGGGCATTTATATGTGAATGTCACTGTAACGTAAGGACTTCAAACTAACAAAACCTCTCTCTCCTCCCTGCACTTGTTCCTCCTCCTTGCTTTCTTCTTTTTTTTTTTTTTTTTTTTTAAAGATTTTATTTGACAGAAAGAGGGATCACAAGTAGGCAGAGAAGCAGGCAGAGAGAGAGGGGGAAGCAGGCTTTCTGCTGAGCAGAGAGCCGGATGTGGGGCTCGATCCCAGGACTCTGGGATCATGACCTGAGCTGAAGGCAGAGGCTTTAACCCACTGAGCCACCCAGGCGCCCCTTGCTTTCTTCTCTTGATCACCATCTCTCCCTGGCAGTCTTCAGAGTTCTCGCTGACCAAGAAGAGTGGATGAAAGTTATCAAAAATCAGCCACTCTGCTGCCGGAACACCTGTTTTATCTGTTGCCTCCTTCAATCCTGTTGGCTTGTTATATTCACCTGAACAACTGCAATAGCTCAGTAAACACCTGGGAAAAGACCTCCTTTCCAAACGTCACTGAAATGTGAACTCTACAGATCCTCTCCTGTCCCTTGTACCAGTAATACCACCTTACACTTCAATCTTTCCTCATCTGTCCCCTCAAAAACGGGACTGTCAACGCTGAGAGCCAACACTGGCTTATCTGTCTTTACAGCTCTGAGGACTAGCAAATTGACTTACATACCATACCTAGAAAGGCCTTAGTAAATGTTTGCTGAATGAATGAAGGAACTCATCTCATAACTGACGTCCTAGTTTCTGTTCCCTTCTGGCCTGAGTGATCCTTTTAAAATGCATTTTTGTTTGTGGCATTTGTATGAGTTTTGTCTCTTCAACTAGTCCCACATCTTTGAGAGAAACAAACCATTCTGTGCACACAGCAAGTATCCAATAATCATTTGTTGATAAGGGAATTAAGGGGAGATTAACACTCTGAATTTTAAGGAACAGTGAAGAGGCTTATAAGATAGGTATCTAGAGCCCTAGGAACTATCTTCCCATTTAAATATGAGCTATATCCAGAAATAAAATCATGTGAATAACATCATATGCCAATAAAACATACAGGTATATCCCAGAAATTTGCTGGTTCTGTTCCAGACCTCTGCAATAAAATGAGCATCACAATAAAATGTCTTGAATTTTTTGGTTTCCCAGTGCATATAAAAGTTAGTTTACACTACTCTGTGAACCAGACTAATGCCATCTTAGACAAATCTGCCATGACCACTCTGTGATCTGAAGCCTTCCAGAGCACAGTCTTCCCTGCCCCATTCTGTTTTGCCACACCCTTAAGCACACCCTTGGCGCATATTGTCCTTGATTTGCTCTGGAGATTGGACCATGTTTCTCAAACGTTCCTTCCCAGGTGGTCTCCCAGCCTGTACTCCTCAGCCTTTGGGCGGTAAAAGCAGGTCTTATAGGAGGTGGAGTTGCAGAGATACACTTGCTTGCAGCTGCCCAAGAGGGACTTCTGTCCAGAAGCCCCTTTACACCATTTTTTGTCAGGTTGGACTTGTTGGCCTTTTTCTTCAGTCTTATGGCTCCTCTGGCCTTTGAATATCATTTTGCCTATTACTTCCCTTTCACAGAACAGTTGGTGAACCAGCCAGGAGGAGCCCAGAGACTGAAGAGTGGGCAAAGGAATGAAGCTTCTTTGGGGGGAAACCCTGGAGTGGCTGACCACAGCAATGTGGGAAGGCACAGTCTGTCTGCTTGATGGCTATGGATTTCTGCATGAGTATGGGGACACTCTGAAAATGCCATATGGATTAGAGCTATTACAAAGTTGCATGATCCACTAGGGTAAGGAAGGCCACCAAGCAATGGTGGGTTGGCTGCTCCTATGGGCCCTTCAGGACGCCATCAATGCCTGGCTAGGGGCAGAAGTGAAATAAAGGAGCTGGAGAAAGAATTACAACTGGAGAAGGACAGGAGACTATCTACATCCCTCTTGGGTCCTAATTTGGTAGATACTATCTAAAACCAGGATGCACAAATTGAGACTTTAGTGTGTCTGTCGCTTTGTGTGCCCTGGAGGGCATAAAATGTGGCAACCTCGGATTAGAGCCATCATTTGAAGCCAGTCTGGGATGCTAAACCATGGAACTTATGGGAAACGTCTTTGTATGCCAGGAAAGTAGGATGTGTTTTCAGTAGGAGAAGGTATGAAAAATGGAGATGTTTTTTTGTTGAGGAATAAAAAATAATTTTGTCCTAAAGAGGATCTGGTGATCTGAAGAGGAATAAAAAACAGGACAAAATCGGAATGAGAAAGTTGTAGAAGGTCTGTGGAAAAGGAATATTTGGAAAGGAATTTTATGTGTGGCCAAGCTGGCTAAGATTAAAATGAATTTATATTAAAATGAGTTTTAATATCAAAAGTAAGTTGATGAAAAATTAGAATTTGGTTTTCTATCTGTTAAAAGGACATATAAATCTTCAGTGTCTTTTCCAAACGTAAGTGGAAAAAGCTTAAGCCATCTATACAGGTTACCTTACCTTACCTTATTCCATTTACCAAAAAACCAAATTTAGATGCAACATTTATGAGTGAGTTTTGTACCTACTTCATGGCAGTAATTTTAAAACAGAAGCTATAAAGTTTCTGTATCTGTATTTATGTGTGTTCATATGTATGTGTTATGTAGTATTTTCTACCTCTGGATGGTATTGCTAAAATTTGTATTAAAAGAAACATCTATTTAATTGGCTTAAAGAAAATTAAGCATTATATAATTTAAATTCTCAAATATAATAAAAATTAACCCAAATGTTTTTTAAATTCATGTGATCTAAGATAATTTTTCTTAAAGTTTTAAGTTTGTTGGTTTAATTAAAACAGGTATGTCTTCAGAGTTATCAACATCAAATAGGATTCCAATAATCAAATTTACTAGTTAAGTTCATGTTCATCTATTACAATCTGTCAGCAAAAATGACTTAGAATGTTGGTTGATTTTGTCTAATGTCTCATGAAATTTTCACAGGTCATCTAGACATAAATGTTAGTAACACACAGACTGAACAGATAAAAAGTTTTAGGCAAACTTTTTAATTAGCTTCCCAAATCTTCCTGGTGTCTTGGAACCTTAAAGTTTTGCTAAGTGAAGAATGCTGGTATAACAGTTCACAATTGCTTACTTAGTTTTTACTAGAAATTAAGGTTTCTGAGGGTTAAGAATTTTAATAATATATGTAATCAAAACTGTTAGAAATAAGGTTACTCTAAAACAAAGGCGTCATTAGGGTAGCCCAAAAGCAAATGTGGCATAAACTGCTGGCAGTGGGCATAAACAGAGAAAAGACAGATTGCCAACCAAATGCTGTTCTAGTGGCTTCAAGGAAGGCGTTTACTTCTGCTCAGCAATTTAGGCCACTGCCCTCTATCCACCCCTGGGAAAAAAACTAAGCCACAAGCGATTTCTTACCAGGGCTGGGTACCCCCTTGCTGGAGAGACCAGGGATGGGACCAAGGTTGCTTCACTGTAAGAGTAATAGGGGGCAACAGGAGGTCCCGAGTACAGTTCACAATTTACTGGACACCATAAAATAAGCAAAAGACCATGTCCTTAGTGGATACCAGAGCAGAATGTACCCTAATTCATGGCAATTCAGAATGGCATTCAGGGACCTGGGCAGCCACCAACACTTATGGAGGGAAAAGCCTGGGTGGCTCAGTCGGTTAAGCATCTGCCTTTGGCTCGGGTCTACGATCCCAGGGTCCTGGGATGGAGCCCCAAATTGGGCTCCTTGCTCAGCGGGAATCTGCTTCTCCCTCTGCCTGGTGCTCCCCCTGCTTAATGCGCTCTTTCTCTCTCTCTCTCTGACAAATAAATAAAATCTTGGGATGCCTGGGTCACTCAGTCAGTTAAGTGTCTGCCTTCAGCTCAGGTCATAATCTCAGGGTCCTGGGATCAAGTCCCACATCAGGCTCTCTGCTTCTCTCTCTCTGCCTGCCGCTCCTCCTGCCTGCTTGTGTGCTCTGACAAGCAAATAAATAAAATTTTCAAAAATAATAAATAAATAAAATCTTAAGAAAAGAAGAGCATAAGGGAAAAATGCACAACAGTGTGCTTGAGAATAAAAGCCCAACTTTAAGGAAAAACCCTTATGAGGTTTTCGTTTCTCCAATACTGAAGGATATATTAGTCATAGATATTCTTCTGGAAAAAATTACTACAAAGCTCTGTAGGAGAATTTCACATTTGATTTATAGTAACTAAAAGGACCTTTATTTAAAAGATTTTATTTATTTGAGAGAGAGAGAGTGAGAGAGAGAGCATGAGAGGGGAGAAGGTTAGAGAAGCAGACTCCCCGTGAAGATGGGAGCCCGATGCAGGACTCGATCCCAGGACTCAAGGATCATGACCCAAAGCAAAGGCAGTGGCTCAACTGACTGAGCCACCCAGGTGCCCCTAAT